GTGGAAAGCAAATGGAAAAACTACCACATTATCACTTTTCCTGGATAGTCTCTTTCCAAAAACAGAAGATCACATTAAGTGGAGGAACTGTTTTGGAAGAGACTGTGGACCTGTCATCTGACAGTTACTGATCAATCAATCAAACTAACCAACATTGGTGCCGTCTCTACTCTGTCGTCAATTGCATATTGAAACCTCATGCAAGAATAATATTCTCACAGCAGGGATATGTTATTAAATGGAGGAAACATCTGGACATGCATCTCGAAAGCAGACTGACAAGGGCAGAGCACATTCAAATTCAAAAGAAAACAGCTCAACCTAAAAGTGTAACAAATTCACTGACTACCCGAAAAAGGTTCAACACTATCAACAGAAAGTAAACTCCTCCTATAGAAAGTAGTATTCAAACTCATATGGACAACACCGAAAACCTCCAGCGCTTTAAAACCAAGAGTCTCCGGTGCATTCTGAACCCACCTTGGTATATAAAAAACTCAGGACCCATTAAGATCTACAAATGATCACAATGCTCAGTGAAATAGTGGAATATCGCAAACTTTAGAATAATAGAAAACTACTAGCAAGCGAAACTACACACAGGCTAAATAGATACACCTTCCTAACTATGCAAGACAGAACTGAGTAAAACACCAATACATGAATTGAAATGATACCTAAACGGACAAAAAACGAGTATATACCATCGTGCTCATTCACGAGTCAGTACTTATTGAACATATACAGTTATTGCAGATTCTGCAGATTATGAAAAATAAATGTGTGAAAAAAAAGAAATACGTTTATAGCTCAGACTGTCCAGCTGAATGCAATGTTTGGAAGGTGAATTTGGAAATATTCCTTCAAACTGGTTACTCTTAACGAAATCCATTAGGAATGAATAACATTTCACACACTGTTCGAAAGCCGTACTAAATAAATATTACTCAATTATTATGTAATGTGAAATTACCCAACATTACTAATTGCCTTAATAAAACTTACAGCAGTTTTGTGTTTTCGTTTGTGAATATCTGAAAAATAAAATTAATGAGCTTGAAACACTGCATAGGAAGAATTTAATTATGGACATACTATACTGAGGTCTAATTCAAGGGGCAGAATCCCAGGATAACTAGTTTAATACTAAGAACCGTGATTTGTTTCCAGAATCCCATATCACCTTGATTAGGTACAAGAATTATTTCTCCAAGCTACTGGTTATGCGCAGGGTTAATAATGTTAAGCAGCGGGAAATACATACATACAGCTGAGTTTTCAATCATAATGCATTTTTAGAAGAATTTTCTATTACAAATTTTAAAATTTATACATCATCACCACCTACTGATCAAACTCCGGCAGAATAGAATCAAACAGGAGGTGTTACACTAAATACCAGAAAAAAGAACTCATTACTTATAGATGCAACAAGCAATAAAAGCTGGGAAATTCTTGAGTAGCTGCAGAATTGGCGGTTCCTCAAGAAGAGCTCAGCTCCAAGAGTAAGAAAGTAAAGTAAATAAAAAATTTCTCCTCGATGGAAAGACAACAATATTATACCAATTTACGAAAAGGTTAACAAGAGGATTTAAACAACAATGGTTAATATTTAATGAGTTATTGCTAGCGCTCAAACGACGTCGTTTTCCACTATAAATTCCTTGGCATGGACCAAGCGCAGATAAAAGAGCCCATATTTTTTAAAGGTTTCTGTTGCGTTTCTCATGTGATCGATATCCAGCAAGTCCATTGGCGAGCTGACCGCTGCCTAGAAACAAGCTCAATATTTTCTGCTGAGAACACAGCTTCCATTATTGCGTGTTGGAACGTGTTTACGGAGCCCTTGGCTGGCAATGGGTTTCTCTGGTTCTATGGCTTAATGCTCTGAGAAGATCCGCAACAGTATATGCTTATGTCTCGTCATCAGAATGCAGAGAAATCTCATAATATGAAATAACCAATAGATCCTATGGAAATGTTGCCTTTGGTCAAGGAATGGTGACCTACAGTAACAGGACAAAATTTAATTTTTGAGAAAATTAAGTGCGTATTCAATTTGGGTCAAGCTTGAAATATTTCATTTCAAAATGCATTGTCTTCTCCTCACCTCTCTAAAATCTTGACATTTAATATATGAGAACATGTAATTATTTCTGTTGTTTTGTCTAGGTGCGAACCTTCGTCTCCGAATTTAAGCGAAGGACCTTGATTAATTATATATTAGAACAAGGAGAGGAGAAAAGTATTTGGACCAAAGAGGGGTCATATAATAGTAAGCTACAGAAACAGAAACTCTCAAACTTGCGAAGTGAAAGGGGGTGTGATAAGCAGGATAGGAGACACTAATAGGAGGTAAACGGATTGAATATATTGAATGTGTGTGAAATTCATAAAGAAGCTATCGCTAGGACGAAGTGGTCGTATGAAACAATATAATATTAAAACCGATCTTAAAGGAACAAGGACTGGATGATTCTCCCCAGTAACAAATATTCATAGAACACTCTTGTCAACAGAGCAATGACCCAACAGGTTCCATAAATTGTTGTGAAATTCATGAGGAGCTAAACGAGTGTTCTCTTCTTAAGAAAGACTCGACTCCATCAACTGAGTTCTTCAACTATTTACATCAATATATAGTAGAGCAAGGGCAGGTCTATATTAATTCATTTCCGCCCGATCCCAAAATACTCTTTCCAAATCCTCTTCTGAAAACACTCCCTTCTCTGGAAACACAGGCCATTCATATCGAACTACGTCAATTCAGTAGCTTTCACCAATCTCCGTAATCATGAAAATGCAAAACTGCACTCAGACCCTCATATTTTACACACTGGAACAACAGGATACAATACACCACTTCATTCTCCCGACTGAAGAAACTCAGTATATCATGTCTGGTAATTTCTGAGTTCAGTCTCTTCGACAGCGATCCTTTCCGGCAGTGGTCACCGAGAGATGATCCTCTGATTTCGGCTTATACCTGGACTCGGGTAGGGTACAACAGCACCCCACTCCACTCCCAATATGACTGCACAAAAGTTGCAATCTCACAGAAACATTGACACAAGACCAACCTTGGTCATGTATGAAACAGGAGAACTGAGAGAGGGAAAAATGTATTCCAGAAAAACACACAAATAATATAACAATAATGTAGTGGATTAGTGCAGATGGAACCCACACATCCTGCAAATATCAGTCAGCGACTTTCCTACGTCTTGTCCCTTTACATTCCTCGCTTGCTCACAGACACGCTCAACAAGACACATCACACAGCGTCGCATTACGGAATAATCCGCAAATAACAAATTGTCACGTATTTGGGTGTCGGATACGCGGGTTTGGATTGGTGAATCAGTGTATTGGACCTTCACTAGTTATAACTACAAATAATTGTAATACATTCAAGGTCAGTGTAAGTATAACAAACACGTGAGATCTTCTATGCACTTCTCCTGTAAGCACTCTGCACTTGTCTCTCAATTGGTACTGTCTCAGAGTTAAGACTTCCCTTTTCGTCGTCTCTGAATTAAACTTAAACTGTTATTCGTTACATAATTGGCGAACGGACAACACAGAAAACAAGTCACATGTTAGTACTGTTGCGACCATATTTTACACTCTCAGATTTAAGGCTACCCTTTTTCGTCCTTCCTGACTTAACCAAAGTCAATGTCAAAGTCACATTGCGACTGACGGCCAGTCAGCCAGTAAGTTTGGGAGTCGAGCCCCATGTCCCTGACGTAAACAAAGTCAAAATCAAAGTCAAAGTCACATTCTGACTGGCGGCCAGTCAGTGAGTCTGGGTGTCGAGAGCATAGTGGGGATCACGACCAGATATTTATAACTGTTTGCCATTTAGGCCTTCCAATTTTGGGGCGCCCTCTCCGACGAGTGGACGAGTCTCTTTCTATCAGATATACTATATGCAATATAAGTAGCTTGTCTTAATGTAAATGATAATTACATTTTACATGTTAAAATGTTAATATATGTATATAAATATATACAGTGTATCTGTCAGACCAGGCTCATTACAGCAGATTATGCCCCATGTCTTGTATCTTTTGCTACTACAACAGTTCTGACTTAAAAATAAACAGACATTCCTTATATAGGCGCCGCAAGGACTACACAGGAAACAAGTCACGTGATAGTACTGTTGCAGTGTGACGTCATTCCTCCTGCGCGCAAGTCTGTTTACTGAGCAGTTGCCGAGAATCGGGTTGCGTTATCTCCTGTTCCATTGTTGCGAGCGTGTATCGCGTGTGTTTACCGGTCAATTACCTAGCATCGATCCAGCCTTCCATGTTACAATATTAAAAACTGAGCTGCTGATATATTACAAGGAAATCTGCGTTAATGAACTGAGAAATAGTTCAGAAATCCTGATTCAAAAAAACAGAATTCCTAACCATTCGACCGCGATTCCATATCCTATTTATTTCAGTGTACAGTGAAATACACAACTTGTTTTGCTGTAAATAAATAATATGTCATGCAATAAATTGACTTACATTCTTACCACATATGAAATATTAACGAAGATCACGGCGAAATTTTTAAAACTTCTGTCTCTTGCTGCGGTATCCGAGAATAATCCTCCTATTTTCTAATTTAATCAGCATCACACATTACAGGAATCGACGGTCAACTCCAGACCTTGTAAATCAGAGGCCCACTTGAAATAGAAAAAGATATTACACACAGGATAATAATTTTCAAACAAAAGTGAGAGGGGAATTCCTATTAAGTCGTGTGGTCCATTCCGTCGCCTGTGTCTCCACATTTTCAATATTTCGCTTTCTCCCCCTGAACAAGAATTCTTTCCCTCAATGAATACCACAACAACTGCCGCACAGCGACGTCCGTGCTCCTGTATACTTTAGCGAACTAAAGCTCTCGTCCACCGTGTAAGTCGCATATATACAACGAGTGAAGAGAGCACAGCACCAAACGAAATCTTGAATATTTGCAATCTTCTTCAATTACAGGACCGAAGTTCATTATGTTGCCTATCATCCTCCTTGGTGTAATCGCCAGGTTGACGGTAGTTTCTGCTGACTGTGACATCGGTAAATTGAATCTCAACCAAACAGACTGGACTAATGTAAGTTACTCTGTAAAGTCACATAATGTCAATAACGTGAAATTTACAAAATAAAATTCATTAATTGAAAAGGTGTCCCTCTCATTTCTCTGCCTTATAGTTTACAGGTACTTGGTATTGGCTGTACCACATCCCCCATAAATATGACGACAACCTGGACTGTCCGGTGATCACGTATGATGCAATCACTAAACAGTTCGCAAGAATAACAACCTACGTGTATGTCAAGAGGTGAGCTTACAACAGGAATCCATTCCACCTAATATCTTCCAATGTATGGAAGTTCTAACTTAACTGGTAGTCACGTGTTTGACTGTAATGCAAGGCGTTTGGTCAGAACGAGTCCTTCTTACTGCGAACACAAATGTAGTCTTGTACCATGAACCATGAAGACATTGCAGGAGAATGTCAAAACAAGCAGTCGATTTAATTTTCTCTCTCCGTGGTGTTTATGGAGAAACATCTTACTATTGAACGCATTCCTAATAAGAATGAACTCACGAAACCGAATTTTCATACCTCGATAAAAGGCATGTCACGAAATGAGCAAGCTTAACTTATGAACTCAATTTCTGGAAAAGTATCCAAAATCCCTACTTGTGTATAAATACAGGTAACAATCACATACTCGTATCTGTTATAGATATTCATACAGGTATTGCAATCAGAAATAAGGTAGGACATCAACAACAAGTCTTCTTACTTCTATGGAAGTTTCAGACTATTCTATACTCAGAACAATCTGAGATATCTCTTCCTATCTGTCGTGTCTGCACTTGGTAGTCAATGACTGTCTGTCGATCTCGCAGGGCAACTTTTCTGAGTTGCTTCTACTGTCTTTGCCATATGCTTTTCTCTTCCAGATCATCACTCGAGAAAGGGTGAATTAATTTCAATGATATTTTATATTTTCGAACTTTAAATATGACAAAAATTATAACATTACATACAATTCGAAAGAAATAAGGAACATTTAAAAAAGTATGCTTTGGTTTCTGTTCTTTGCTTCTAATTAAGGAAGTATTTGTCGAAGCGAAATGTTTCTCAAGAAGAAAATTTAGGGATAATATACTTTGTCTGTGGTATTAAATATTTCACGGAATTAGATAAAAGAAAGAAAATTAAAAAAATTTGTACGCTGTACCAAATTTTCGTACCGCCATTTACAGTTTCATTCACATGATATGTTCTTACAGCACGCGCACTCGCGATCGACTGGTGGGAACTGTTGTGGACTGGAACACCAAAGGATATTACGACGTCTATTATGCGGAGCCTAGTTGTGTAGCAAATTGTTCAGTGACTGAAAGTTTCACCCGAACTCCAGATTACGCAAGTAAGTGTCTAGGTATTCCATAACTGTGAGATTTCACCATGCAAATCGGCGAAAAGCTATATAGAGTCACAAATGTGACCTTTGAATCAAACTTCAATTAAATTTTAAAAGAACGTTCATGTTTCTGCAACCAGTGTTAAAATATATTCAGATATTGTGACTTCAGCCAAAACACTGAATTGGTGATGTGATGCCCCCTAACCTATTATGCAGATCTCGGAAGTTTGCCTGTTCCAGAAACAATCTGTCCACCATGATGACATATGAAGCGACCTGACAAACCAGGGTCTGAGTTACGGAGAAACCGAAGAAGGTTTTTTGCTTTATAATAATAAAAATTATCATGGAATACTTTCCTACATAACTACGCAGGTTACACGTAATCAACCAAAAGCAGCAAAACACATTCGTACGAATTTCTGAACTAGAAACCTCTGATATTGTTATAGATCGGGATTCATAAGGCTCAAGTCGTAAAAAGTACAGTGGAAATATATGCCATATTCCCTTGATATATCTTTCTGGGAAATCTAGGTCGTCAAGAAGTCTTACACTAAAAATATAGGCCTACATATTTCTAGACACTCACTGCACTAAATACGAAAGCCATAAACGTTCCTCTCCATACGAGTACTAAAGAAAACAGTTTACTAAAAATTTGTATAAAATATTCAGTATAATTTGTACCAAAATCATGTCAATAAGAGGATAATTTCTGCAGGGAAATGAAGTTGAGAAAGTAAATATGTCACATAAATTTATGGTCCGTGAATATTAGAACAAATTTAATATGCGCTGATGAATACGGTAATGTTCATATGGCAGCGAGTAGAAGGCCGGATGTAACAGGAAGCTGGAGAAAGTTGCACAGTGAGGAGCTTCACAGTTCCTACTCCTAGGAGAATATCAATCCAAGGAGAACCAGTTAAACACCCACAGAATCATGACAGAGACATAACAATACATTGCACAAACTATCTGTGAGAAATACGAGCAGACAGAGAATTCCATGGGAGGGTAGCACTGAATAATAAGTTGAAACTAACACCATCAACACAATATCTGAAGGGAGATACTTTTCAGTGCTTCCCTCATAACCGACAGGCGAATGATGATTTCGTTTGCTGAAATAGCTCATGAATGCTTCCTCCTGTTCACTCAACCAATATTATCATCTGACGCCGAATAATGCTACACATAGTTAATAAGTTCCTGAACTCGCCGCAAAGCCTCGTTGCAGTGCGATACAGCGGACAGCTTGAGGCACGATATGATAACGTGTCAGTTCATCTCTCGTCACAGCAAGAGGCAGATGTGTGCAAACAGTGTAAGCAGAACTACGGCCTCTATTGTGAACTGCAGTTAAATGCGAGTGGCGGTAATCGAAAATGTGGCAGTTTGAACAACGGACAAACATCAAGTTTTGCCAGAAACTAGGCAAATCCCCTAGCGAAATATTTGGCGTACAGAGAATTGGCTGTTCCTACACGACAACGCCCATGCACATCGCTCTGTTCTTGTCCAAAAGGAACTTTCAAGGAAACAGGTCATCGTTTTGCTAAACCCTCCGTATTCACCTGACCTCGCAACATGTGATTTATTTCTCTTTCACTGCTTGAGAGCAGAGCTACGTGGTCGTAGCCTTCAGTCGTCCGAGGAGGTGGTCAGTGCCACAAGAGACGCCGTACGTGAATTTCCCGCCAATATGTTTCAGCAATGTTTTCGGCAGCTATATCAACATTGGACACTTGCACAGCGGCCAACGGCAACTATTTTGAGGGCCGATTTGGATCTGTAAGTCTATGTGAATACCCTGTCATGCATGCGATAAAACCACAGTCCACGAACGTAATGATTGTACCACGTATTTCCAGCTGATACGACTTTATAAACAATCTATGAGTCACCTATCGGCTAGAGAGTGTAATTCTGAAATTTGACTTGTAACTTTCGGTTCCTTATAAGAATATTTTCTTTGCAGGAATATGGAGCGGCAGGTACCATGTGCTTTCAGTTGACCACAACCGCTACGTCATTTTTAAGTATTGCTGCTCCACGGTGAACAAATGTGAGTAGCGCTGAATCCCATGTAAAGCATACACTACGCTACACATTCTTACATCTGTAGTTCAAGATCTTTATTGCCCTCTGCGTTGTGGCAAATAATCGAGCCAGAGCCTTCGGGGTGGAAAAAATAGTAGATTCTCCGAAATATTAGCAATGAACAACCACACAATACAAGGGTCACATCCCAAACGTCAGGGATGTACATAGCCTACCCGCAAAAAAAACTAATCTCATGACTTCCTTCAATTTTCCATTAATAGTAAGTCCCAGCAAAGAGGCTACTGAAAGACGGCGCTCGAGGTATCTAGTTCACTCCCCCCCCCCGAAGTTAGCACTGTCGCTTACCTCCATATTCTTGTAGCTAACCAAATTTGTCACAAGCTAGTAAAGAACACAATTTCTCTGAACAGCTACGACTCCAGTGGAGTAGAGAATTATTTCTGAGGACAATCGGTCCTTGGGACTCCTACCCGTAGCCTCAGCAGAGTCTGTTGCTACTGCCTTGAAGTGCATTTCTACACAATTACACATGTCTTCTCTTTCCAGTATTCATTTACGTCGCGTTCAGAACTCCGAATCCCGATGCAGAAACTCTGGATGAAGTGAAGGAAGAACTGAAGAAAAGTGGCTTGGATTTCAATCAGCTTGTGAAATGGGATACTAATCACCATTCATGAACTTTGTGAGAAATTTTCGTCACAGACAGATGCGTATGTGCACTGCAGCAACAGATATTCCTTTATAATAACTTTTCAAAAATATGGGTAAAAACCCTTTAAGTTTACATAATAACAGATGAAAAAGGCAAATAAATAGAAATAGCAAAGTTAACACAGAATCACATTTGTTGTAGGATTCGTAACTCCTCAGGAAATTTTCCAATATACCCGTAGAATTCGAAATGAACTACAGACGAAAGGGCCAGGCTTGAAATGATATAAGATAATTTCAATAAAATTTGCATGCCTGTTTCGAAATGGATCTTCCTGATAATTCTTCTACAAACAGAATTAAGAAAGAGATCCAAGCACATGACTTGAAGTTTCATTTCGCCAGCATCAGATTTTTATTTTTCGAAAGTGAGCAATTCCTGGGAGCTCTTTTACGTCGAAATATATTAAAATTCCTTGATGATCAAATTCTGTTTCCAGCATAAAGTAAAAATTTTACACAAGAAAGCGAAAACCCTAGTACAGACGTTCAGAAACAGGAGCACCAAAAGCAAACACAACAAACAAGACCTATACATCTGAGCACAAAAGCCTTTCAAATTACATACCAATAAGAGGACACTGACGTGTAGCGCTAAACATCGCCGCACCGTTAACGAAATTAAAATTGCGAGACAAATATCTGCATATGTTCAACAGCGTTTATCATCTTCCCCCCCCCCACAATTGAGTAAGGAAATGACTACGTTTCCGAAATGTTTTTTTTTTCAGAACAGTAGAAAATGAACAAAGACCAAAAGACGAGCAATCCTGATTGTTATACAACAACGTCAGGAACATTTACAGTAAAGATATACTATGTTTATGTACAGACATGAAGTGATCCTGTTTTTCACTCTATGTGAAAAATCATGATCATTTAAAAAATGCAAAGAAAAATTATGTAAAGACAACACATAATCCTGTATTGGAAAACATTGCTTAAAACCTGAAACCGAAGTCATTATAAATATAAAAATTAATAATGTTCACTTTTTAACATAAACGACAAGCCTAAAAGTGATATATTTTTTGTTAGACCCTACATGACGGGCCCAAAGTCGGTGGATACTGAAATACCAAATGATCTAATGACCATCGCTAAGAATTCAGATCCCGGAAAGATATTTCCCCTTGCTTTTTCGGAGAAAATGGATAAGTTCAGAACAACTTAAAAAAAAAATCAGTAGTTTCTTCGATGTGTCACTCTCCACTGACAGGCTATTCCTTCCTGAATCCAATCCCCTATCAGTAATAATTTCTGCTTTCGGTCTTTAGTTTTCAGGCGTTTTCTTTATTTTCTGAGCAAAAGTTCCTCCTCTCGTTCCTCTCACAACCTTGTCCTTCTGCGTAGCTAACAGTTCCTCTAATTCCTACTGTGAGGGAAGTGTGATGTTTGAAAATATCATCATAGACCATATAACTGGCGCAGAGCGTTCTGCCCCTCCACGACAAGACTGGATCGCTGATAACTGGATACACCGTGACTCTGAGATTCTTCTTCACCATGAATTGCAAGAGCCACCCACGGAAAATAAACTGCTTCCATGTGTAGAATCCTTTTCGACTGTGTCCAGCTACTGTTGTTCCATTATAGTAGCTTTCTTATATCGAACAACGTCTAACTATATATAAATACGACGAAGTAGAAGTCTCAGTTGTTCCCGTAATATACATTAGGAAGCAAGGATTTATTTCGTTACACTCTTATCAAGACGCTAGGCAGCTAAGGCGTTAGTATCTCATCCTAAACTTTTTGAGGTTGAAATTGTTGTTACAATTTGAGAAGGTATAAATCATCATGTAGTGATCAAATTCCGGCAGAACTTATTCAAGCAGGAGGCGAAATATTACGTTCTAAGATCCATTAGCTAATTAATTTATTTGGAATTAGGAAAAAATGCCTGATCAGTTAAAGGAGTCTGTTAATGTACCAGTTCATAAGAAGGGTAATAAAACTGACAGCAGTAATTATTCGTGGATATCACTTCATACAAAATTTTATACAATATTCTTCTCTCAAGGTTAAGTCCATACATAGTTTAAATTACTGGGGATCATCAGTGTCGGTTTCGACGTAACAGATCAACTATGTATCAGATATATTGCATTCATCAGTAAAATGTGAGTTCAAGGAGGCTCTACATCAGCTACTCACATACTTCAAGAATGCCTATGATTCAGTTAGAAGGGAATTACTGTACAATATTCTAAAAGAGTTTGGGGGACCCATGAAGTTCGTTAGGCTGAACAAAATGTGATTAAACGAAATATATAGTAAAATCCGTATAGGTAAATATTTGTCTGATAATTTCCGTATATAAAATGGTCTGAAACAAGTAGAAGCTTTATCGCCACTGCTTTTCAATTTGCTTTAGAATATGCAACTAAGGAGGTCCAGGAAAACGAGGTTGGACTGAAATTAAATGGGATATATCAGCTGATGGTCTATGCTGATGATATGAATCTACCGGGTGAATATATAGATACAATAAAGAAAACACACAAACTTTAATTGTCGCTAACAAGGAGTTTGGTCTAGAAGAAAAACACGGAGAAAAATAAGCATGTGTTGCTGTCTCGTAGAACCTCCAGAACCTTCTGCCTTCTAGTCTGCTCTCAAAGAAAAACACAAAAATTAGAATATACAAAACTATAATTTTACCCGTGGTTCTGTAAAGGTGTGAAACTTGGTCTCTGACATTAAGGGAGGGATATAAGACTGAGAGTGTTTGAGAACAGGGTGTTTAGGAGAATATTTGGGCCGAAAAGGGAGATTAGAGAAAACTGCATAATGAGGTCCTTCATAACTTGTACTCTTCTACAAGTATAATTAGAATGATCAAGTCAAGGAGGTTGTGGTGGGCAAGGCACGTAGCACGAAGTGGGACGAAGAGCAATATATATAGGATATTGGTGTGAAAGCTAGAAGAAAATAAACCACTGGGAAGAGCCAGAAGAAAACAAACCACTGGGAAGAACAAGGTATAGATGGGTGGACAATATTGAAATGGATCTTAGAGAGACAGGATGGGATGGTATGGATTGGATTGATCTGGCTTAGGATAGGGACTAGTGAAGGGCTCTTGTGAACACTGTAATGAAACTTCGGGTTCCAAAACCGTTGGAAAATTCTTGAGTAGCTGAAGAATAAGCGGCTCCTCAAGAAGGGCTCAACTCAATGAGTAAGTTATCAAATAAAAATAAAACATTTTATCTTCTGCAATAAAGAACTGCGTACAAAGACAAAAGTTCACAATCATATAGAATAAATAAATCGTCCCATTCTTCAGGGTAGTTGTTCAAGCAAAGAAAAACCAGTAAAAATCAGATTGAAAGCTTATTTTTCCCAAACAAAGGCTGAATTTTCATAAGAAGATTAAGAAATTTACATGTAGTGTCACTTTAAATAATTACTTAGAAAATTATCAAGTTCTAATTAACATGCTTGTAGCACACAGAAGCGTGTTTTGTTTTATCCACATCATCTGCGCTAAACGTATTACTCTCCCAAAAATATTCAAGGAAGTTCTGTTGTGTACCCCTCTTCGGACACCAGTCTTAAGTGACTGGTGTCCTCTGTGCCCGTGGTCAGGGTACGACTGATTGGTCGAGCGGAGTATCGGTTGAGCCGAAGCTGGTAGAAATGAGAACTGCTGGAAAATATAGCTTAAAACAAGACGTTTATTACACACAACAAAACAACTAGACGAGCGGGTGGATGCGTAAGGCCGTTCGCACAAGGTGGACTTCCCCCTAATTGACTGAGTACCGTCCACAAGGATTAAACATCCTATCAGATCAGAGAGAAAATGATTTGAGACTGTTATGGACACAGTATTTATACAGATCGTTTGGGGTGTTGCCTAATGAAAGCTTTCCAGAATATTAATTTGTTTATGACATTTTATCTATTTGGATATTTTCCCCAATGTCTCGGGCCTTTACCAATGCATTCTCAGGGTTGAGCACGGAAAGTTTAAGAGCGAGAGCGTCAATCGTTTCCTCGTTTTCGAAAATCAAAACAAGATAATTTTGATAGCATCAACAAATAACATTGGTGAAAGTCCAAGTTACAATACTTCACTTGTACACTTCTTGTCAAAAGTTATTATATACGTTTCCATATTAATTTATATAATAATTCCATATAACATATCAATTAGCTTTATATCAGTATCGTAGCATCCATGTAAAACAAAGGGCCGTTGAGGGACATAGGGTTGCGAGAGGTCGAGGTCCCCGTAGTTTTAGTCAATCGTCTCACACTTAGCGGTGAAGTTGCCATCCTAATCAGCCGGCTGCCCTTTACCTCCCGCTACCAGGAATTTTCCTGGTACTCATTTCTGCTATAGACTGAGTCGACCCCAGGGCCTGAACGAGGCTGAAAGGATTAGATAAATTTAAAAACTCAATGACCACATCGGGGCTCGAACCCGCGACCTTTCGGCTTGTAGCATAGTGCCTCAACCAAATACAGTTCCGAGTGCCCCTGGACAAAATAGAGACTATAAAAAAGGTGGAATTAGAATACAATGTAGCACTGCTGGCGCCTGAGGAGCAAAACTATGGATATGGTGCTCGGGAAAATGGAAAACCCCTATTTTGTTGCCAAGAATACGTGTTTATTGGCCCGTTACCTAGAAACTGGTGTCCCGCAATTGTTGAGCTCTTGAGTCACGAGATAATGTCTGCCGATTCGTTCCCTAGCAGTGGGTCTAAATGTCGCATTACACAGATGAGAAAGAGCGCTTCGATTAACCTAGACCTGCACATTCAAATAGTTGTATTGTAAAGGATTTGCCCCCAAATGAGACAAAATTCAAATACAAAATTTCTCGTAAGACGCTTCTGCTGCTACATATTCCAGCTTCTCATCCAAATGAAGATAATTCATTAGCGACAGTGCCCGTAAGTTGGTCTTAACACATAATGCCATCCGTCTGCTACAGCTTATGGACCAGTGTATTCCGAGTTTGTTTTAAAAAGTACCGACATAATTGTTACAATCATTACATGAAGCAATAGTAATTAATTCACCTTTTGGGGGTGGAGACCAACTGGGTCCACTCGGCACGGTGGCCACTGAATGGCTATTGTAGCCTGCCCCGGGTGATTATGATGATGGAGAATTTTGGTGGAATGAAGATTGGCAGTGGAAACCGAAGTACTCGGAGAAAACCCGCCCCAGCGCCACTTTGTCCACCACAAATCCCACTTGACCAGACCCGAGACCGAACCCGGGCCGCCGCGGTGGGAAGCCAGCGCCTAACCGCTTGAGCTATGGCGCGGCCTAAGCAACAGTAAATTAAAAGTGTATAATCAGTTGATTGAAGAAAATTATTATGAAAAATGTCGTATATTAGATANACCTACCTACCTACCCACACACAGGCCAACACAATCACAGAATAAACGCATACACAGGCAGCATGCCTTGAGTGGAATTCGAACCTACGATCCCAGCATTCGAGCGAGCGAAGTTCATGCTTTAGCGCGTCCACTGATATCGGCGGCCCTAATATTAACATTTACATTTCCAAGTCATTGGTGTATGACAATTTCTATAGAGATTTAAATTTCAAAGCAACTGCACAAATTCCCTGCATGCTTGCATGACATGCAAACCGCACAAGTTCTCCTTAACCATGTTCATATATGCCTCATTTCCTGCCTCGCTTCGTCACCGTCGTCAACAAAGGCTCATGTCAGGGAAATGAACACAAATGAGAGCCAACACTAAAGAAACGTGTGTCAAACGCTGATAATTCGTTCGACACACTGTGTAATGTCCTGCCTTTCTAGAACAAATATCTATATCAAGCTGCGCTTGCCAGTTTGAGGTGGACAAACATCTTAGGAATCTGGCCTCTTGACTGTAACTGACCATATTAAAATATGTACATATTTGTTAACACCTTTAACACCACCCAATGGACGAAATCCTTATTACAACGATTGTTTGAGA